AAATATCTAAATTTATATACAATATTATATAAGATTTATAGATTCCTGATTCTAAATGCTAGTCTAATGTAGTTTTAAAATAACTAGATAATCTAACTTATCAAAATTATTTTAAAGTTATTGTATTTAAGATTATTAAATACAATAATTTATTTGAGGTACACTTACGAATTAAGATTAATTTTTTTAAATAAAAGCATTTACAAACATAAATTTCAAAACTAAAACTACTTTATTATCAATAAGTATTTGACATAAGAGTTCAGAGATTTGATTACAAATTTGTTTGCAAAACGTAAAGCGATTTAAAAAATTATACAAAATTATAACATAAAATTAAATATAATTAAAGGGTTTTGGGATTTAGTTGAGTGTTTTTTGTTGCATAAATTTATAGTAATGTTGAACACAGAAAAGTAAAAGTTGGGAGTTTATAGTGAATGCAATGTCAGTTGTTTAGCCGTAAAATCCTCGCCCATAACCTCCATATCCTCGTCCGTAACCACCGTACCCTCGGCCATAACCGCCATAACCCCGTCCATAGCCACCATACCCTCTGCCATACCCGCCATAACCTCCTCGTCCGTAACCTCCATATCCTCCACGGCCTGTTACGATGGCACAGGTATTCATTAATATTTTAATTTAATAATTTTAATATTCATAAATTAAAAGTTTGTGACAGATATTTTTAATTATTAAATTATTAAACCATAAAAGTGTACAATGTAAATTTAGAAACTAGGCTTAATTAGATAAATTTTAAACTAATTCTTAAAATGTTAGAAACTTTTGAATTAATGATAAATATATTTTTTACTATTCAAATCACTCAAGATCTTAAAATATTTTTTACAAACAAAATTAAAAATAAAAGTGAAAACTTTTAATCAAATATGAAAGCAAATGATAACATACCGTAGAACTGAGCGCTAGCCAGGGGTAGGGCCACCAACGCCAGTACCATAAGTACGGCCAACACAGCGATCACTTGTTTGTTCATTTTGTTTGCGGAGGTATTGATAAAAGTTTTTCAAATAGTTTTCAAAAATTGTATATAAGATTAAAAGCCGTGTCGAGCGAGGCTTTTATATACAACACTGGTATCCTATAACTATGGCATTGACAGGATGTACACCGTATGTATGATGTATGACAAGCAGCACCGAATAGCACTGGTAGGTCTGCTTCTGTGGATACAGTCTCTTACTGTCTAACTCTGAGTCCTCTTTGTTATAATAATATTATATATAAACCTGAATTTATTACAGCATTTGATTGAATAGAAGGTCGTATTCCTAACTAATATAACATTTCTCTGTAATTTTCTCATAACTTATACTTTTCTTTATGTATATTCTGTATAATTGATCACTGATTAGTGTGCTATAGATATTCATGCATAATACCAGGGACAGTTCACTAAATTATTCTAACTATTTAGGCATTAGTATAATTAATGAGCTTTTAATGAATATAATGGGGTTTTACTGTATTAATGAAACATTTAGAAAAACCAAATATTAATTCACAGGAATTTTGTTTTCAATACTTTTGTTGAATAGACTTTTCCAACAAAAAACGGTGAATCCATTGACTGCCGACGCTTTCCCTTCGTTTGAGTACATATTGCATGTCTCACATCCTTTTCCCAGAAATCTTAATCCTCTCCCATATTGTAATGTAAAGTCAATGCGCTCTACACTATATCCTCACTTTAATTATAAATATTATAATTTAAACATTTAATTATTAACAATAAAATTTCTTTTTATATTTTGTGAAATAATTTATATGATATATGATATTTATGAATTCATTTATTGATTTAACATATACATAATAGACTACTGTAATAATTATCATATATACCACAGAATAAAGTATTGATAAGATACTATACGGTACTATAGTTATTGTTTAAATAATATTATATATTGTCAATAACAATATCATAATTAATTATTATTACATTTTATTAATGACATATTCTTGCCAATAATATGGTTAAATGAATTTATTAAATATGATAGCAACCTTAGTAACTATTATAATAAATTGTTAAGTTATAACATTTTGAATCAGCATTTGTTACATTTAATGTAATAATTAGTGAATTACTATGTAAAAATATTCAAACGGAACTCTTATGGTCATTAAAACACATTTATTACTAATTTTATGTTTATATATCAAATGAATTGTGATAAATATTTATTCAGCTCCTATTAGATCCTATCACAGGATTGCAACTTATTTTTAACATTATAAATATTCACTAAATTTGAAAGCAATAACAACAACATAACAAAGAATTTACAGCAAAATAATTGAAAAATATTTGTCTAAAATAACAAGTTATTCCACATTTCAATGTATGTAATGTGATTTTTATGGGGGAAAGTGAATTTGCTTTATATCTCAACAAATATTTTGTAGCCTTTGGGAGACAAGCAGTCGCTTATTATTTTTGTTACCCAATTAATACCTAAATAAATGATTTGAAATATTAATTAGTTGTCTATTTTAGACATTGATATTCCCAGAGTATCACATGTCAATCACTCGTAAATTATAAAAGTTTTCAAGAACTTTCTGATAGCGTATATGTATTTAAGTTTTTAAAATTTCGCAACTAGTAATAGTAATAGATAATAAACAAAGTCATTTAATATAATATCTTATACAAAGTATTCAAGCAAGTAAGTTTTAAATTATGGGATTTCTAGCGTAATTTCCAACATGTAATAAAAACTATTTTAAGCAACTTTTTCATGTGAATTGTATATAACTGAGTAAATAAAAAGTATTTCAATAGAATTGAGAGTTAAAAATACAAAAAAATTGTTTTCAAAACAGTGTTATTATATTAGATAAGAATAATCTATCATTTGAAAAGGTAATTTTTATTTCGCATTTTAAACTTATTATAAAAATACACTGAACTTGAAATCAATATTTGCTTTACAAAACGCAACAAAAAATAATTTAATACAAAAAATAATAAATATTTTTTATGCATTTAAATACAACTTTATTATGAAGGCTCCGGTAGGTTAGTCAAACGCTTGGCGTACAAAGTAATACATAAGTTGAAGGCTTTCTATGTGTTATCTTTTATATTATTTTTTGCTATGATTTTAATAAATAAATTGTATATTTTAAAATAAATGAATGTTTTATTTGTTGTTCATTATTATAATTAATAAAATGACAATTATGGACAGTGACTTTGAATAATACATACAAACAATTATTACATATATTTTTGCTTCGTTGAATACATATTATGATAGATTTCTATTAAACATGACATCCGAGTCCCGAACCCATTCCTACGCTAAAGTTGTCAATCATTATATGTACACTCAGTTTGACATTAAGAGACCAATCATTTAACCAAATATTTGTTGAGGTCTTTGATAGAGATATAATAATTGTATTAAAGTCACACTATACAATTTTATTACTAGTTTAAATATACTATACCTAAACGGTCGAAATCTATTAGATCCCAGGCCAGGGAAACGTCGCCGTATTGGTGATAGAAATCCCTTAACCGGCTTAACTGGGTTATAATATCCCAGTGAACTGTTTAAAATTTATAAAAATAACATCAAGTATTTGTATTTTTTTAATGCCAAATATAATACCCATAAGGATTGTACCCCCAATACCGGGCTGACTCGACCACAATCACGTAAAATGTTAAAATAATAATACAAAGCACTTGCAGTTTCATTGGTTACAGAGAAATATTAATAAAAATAATTTTAAAAGTTATATTTTTAGAAATTTAGTATTTTGGATAAAAATTATATAAATCACGTAAAATGTTAAAATAATAATACAAAGCACTTGCAGTTTCATTGGTTACAGAGAAATATTAATAAAAATAATTTTAAAAGTTATATTTTTAGAAATTTAGTATTTTGGATAAAAATTATATAACAGAATGTGTAATATATGTAATATTGAGTAGGTATTTGAAACAACTGAAATATACTGTCCACTAAACTAACCTGTCCGACCATTATATAGTTTCTAAGTAAAGACTATCAGCACTTAAGATCACATTAATATCGTGTTTGGCTTTACTCTGCAATTACTCAAAGACCTAAACCAACACTTCATTCATGATTTTAGACTCAAAAGCATCACAACATTTGAAGTGACTTTCAATTAAAATAAATATTTTTAATGTGTTATCTCAAATATTTAAAGTAAAATAATTGACCACATCATAGCAGTTCCCGACCAGTTTTGGCCATTGATTAGGACTATTGACAAATAGGAACTCCATTTGAATATATTTAAGTTTTTATTTAAGCTCTCTCTCTCTCTCTCTCTCTCTCTCTCTCTCTCGAGATTTTTACGAATATAATAAATATTTTATAATGTAATTAATTACATATCAAGCATGCAATCAATTAATTGTAAACAAAAATTCATTTAAACATAAAAATGTTATATTTATTGTGCAAAATCATTTCAACAAAGTACCGGAACATGTAGTCTATGGAAAATACTATGACATAAATTTAATGGTAATCTACTTATCATTGAGTTTTCAGAAGACAACAAAAAAGTTTTTTCAATAATTTTTCTTATCACAAGTTTGTAAACCAGAAAAATTTATTATAAAAAGGACTTCCTTTGACATCAAAATTATTTAGATAGAAATTAGTGACATATTGACAAAACAATTATTCATTTGAAATAAAATAAAATACAGAATAATTACAATATAAAAATTAAGGTATACAATATAACAATACAATAAAGTTACAATTTTATTAATTAAAAACTTATATAAAAATTTTAATATTAAAAAATTAACACATAAAATAATATTTATTTATAACAAAATAATTTTAAACTAAATCAGCAAGCTTAATATTAGCAACCAAATGTCCACCATCAGCAACAAAAATAGTACCAGTAATAAACTGAGCTTGATTACTAGCTAAAAATGCCACCGCACTGGCAATGTCTAAACCCTCACCACATTTGCCCGCGGGATATAAGCCCCCGATTCGTACCCAATTGGAGGCGTCCCTCTCACTAGTGAGCGAGAAGTTTGTTTGTGTGAAGTTTGAACGCACGGCACCGGGACTATAGATTCAGATTAGATTATATTTAAAGTCATTTCAATTGAATTACAAACTAATTTGTGATATAACTTGACTGAATTGACCCGAATATGTTTGGGACCCAACTCTGCGGCCATACATTTGGTGAACATATCCAGCGCTGTCTTTGACATACAATAGGGTGCCATACTGTGCCCCTACAAGAAGTATTACAGATAATAAATATAAACACAGGTATTAATTTTATAATTTATAGAAAAATAGATTAATATTTTAATAAATGTCTTACAGCTTGAATGCTAGCAATACTCGAGATATTAATAATATTTCCTTTGGTTTTCTCTAAATGTTTGACTGATATATGAGTCAAATATACCACAGAATTCACATTTGTTTCTAAAACTGATTTATACTTTTGAATAAAATCTGAATCAGTTATTTCAGCCCTAATAGCAAAGCCGACGTTATTGACGAGAATATCTAATTTGCCGAAAGTCTTGATAGTTGTGTCCAGAAGTCTGTTGAGATCTTCTTCTTTGTTAACGTCTGACACGACTTCCAGAGGTTTGAGACGTTTTGGTGACACATCTGAACACTGTTTCGATATTTTGGACACATTCTCGGCATTACGTCCAGTGATCACAACATTGGCTCCACTTTTGGCCAGAAGTACAGCAGTGGCCGCACCGATACCTGAACTCGAGCCTGTGATTAGGGCTACCTTTCCCGTGAAGTCATATGAAACAGACATTATATAAAAATTCTACTTTTAAAACAATTCTACTTTTTATAGAATACTTTTAATATTAATTATTACATTATTGTATTGTTTATTATTTGATTAATTTATTAATAATAAAAATAGTTCAAAAATTACAAGATATTTATAGGATCTGAACACTTATATTATCAGTTAATGTGAGTGCGTTAGAGTGCAAAACAATGTTTTATTTAATTTTATTTGATATATAAATGAGATACAGTATTTGATTAAGTACTGTAGTGGATACACTTGCATACAATGTATATTATAATAAAATGATCAACAGTAGTATTTGGGTTCATTAAAATGAATCACTACAGTATAGCTTATTCGCTGATATTAGCGGCTATATGTCCACCATCGGCCAACAGAATTAAGCCTGTTATAAAGCTAGCCTCATCACTTGCTAAATAGGCCACTGCATTAGCAATGTCCATACTTTCACCACACCGGCCAACCGGGTATTTTGTGCCAATACTGTATAACATTGCCATTAATTATTCATCAGCTAAGCTTAAATCTTTAAAAAATTCTGTGCGAACAACACCGGGACTGCAATCATATAATCATTATTAGTATAATTTATAACAATATTTATATTTCTATTAAAATGATTGCATACTTCACTGAATTGACCCGAATATGTTTGGGACCCAACTCTGCGGCCATACGGTGAACATATTCAGGGCTGACTTTGACATACAATAGGCTGAATAGGGACCAATCATATTTAATATATAATTTAATCATTCATTTATTGTTATTTTAGACAAAAAGTTCTTATATACTGTACTTTGTATAGAGTTTGTATTATGAGGTTTTTCATTTTAAAATTAATTTAAGCACATTCATTACTCTATTTTAAAAATAAAATGTTGATATGTTATAAATTATAAAAAACAAATAAATAACAACATTAGACATTCACTTCATTATAACATAATTCTTACTGATTGTATGGCAGCAACACTCGAGATGTTAATTATATTTCCTTTAGTTGTCTCCAAATATTCAACTGATTTATGAGTTAAACTGACCACAGAATTCACGTTTGTTTGAAAGATTCCTTCAAACTTTTGCATGTAATCTGATTCAGTTATTTTGGTCGCATTTCCAAATCCGGCGTTATTGACGAGAATATCTAATTTGCCGAAAGTCTTGATAGTTGTGTCCAGAAGTCTGTTGAGATCTTCTTCTTTGTTAACGTCTGCCACGACTTCCAGAGGTTTGAGACGTTTTGGTGACACATTTGAACACTGTTTCGATACTTTGGACACATTCTCGGCATTACGTCCAGTGATCACAACATTGGCTCCACTTTTGGCCAGAAGTACAGCAGTGGCCGCACCGATGCCTGAACTCGAGCCCGTGATTAGGAGGGGAATTGCGATCATATTTGACATCATTGATCACATCGTAGTGTAAATAATTGACAGTTTGGTCTATGATTTGATACACGAATACTAATAGTAGTATGAATTTAACGTGTTTCTTGTTAAAAATAATTCTACCATGCTTCATATGTTGAACAAAGTGATTTATGCACAAGTAATTTCTGATATGTAAAAAGTAGACAATCATTGCATTTGATTTTATGCAAATTAAAAATTGTCTTAAACAACTTTTTATTTTGAGTATTTTTTACTTGCTTTGTAAAGTGAAAATATGATATAAAATATGAAATATTGTACACGTATAATCATTTTATTCAGTTTATATAATTGCATTTATAGTATAATATTATTTAAATATATGGTGAGTATTCATAATATTATTTTTGTGCCTTATTTTGGTAGATATCTGTATCAGACACTTTTATTATATAACAGTGGAGCATTTCTAATTTATAAATATATTTATATTTAAAATATATTATATTCCATGTACTTAAGGTACACGACACTGTTTATTAAAATGTATTATTTATTAAATAACTACTGTAGTTATATAAAATAACCAATACAGTACTAATATATAGTTCACATACATTGATTGTATTGTAATCACTTTTATTCATAATAGTGTAAGAGTTTGTAAGTAATTGTTACTGAATTATAATTACTGAATTAAAAATAGTGATTATATTATTTAGAGATTTATATTTATTGTTTTTTATTTAACTTTATTATAAAATCTACAGAAATCTGTTATTTAAAGATGGGTATTAAATAATAATAATTAATAATAGAATAAGAAAAATAAATTTTTAAAAATTATAGCAATCATGAAATGTATTTGAATGCTAATTTAATATTTTATAATCATAAAATTATCTGAAATAGCAAATGGTTACTGTATCTAATGAATCATTAGAATTAATTAATTTTGTTTTTAAAATACTGGTATTAATTAATTAAGAAAATTACTATTGCTTGGTCACTAACTATCTAATACTTGAATACAGGTATGTTTAATTTTAAAATACGTAACATGCATTAATTAGAGTTCAATATTAGCATTAGCGGCAATGTGTCCGCCATCGATCACGAATATAGTACCAGTCACAAACTCAGCTTGATCACTGGCCAGGAATGCAATAGCATTGGCAATATCCAAACCCTCACCAGCCCGTCCAACCGGATATGTAGCACAAAATTTATCCCACATAGCAGTCTCCTGGTCTTTATTTAAACCAAAGTTAGCCTGGCCATAATTGGTACGTACTCCACCCGGACTAGAATTAACGTAAACAGAGTTTGTTATAAAATATTGCTTATAGTAATGAAAATAAATGTTTTAATAAAACGTGTAATACTTGACTGAATTAACTCTAATCCCTTTGACCCCCAACTCTGCGGCCATACATTTGGTGAACATATCGAGCGCCGCCTTTGACATACAGTATGACGTGAAGAGTTTGCCCTGTTTTGGAGATTCAAATTGTTTATTAATATGAGCAAGTCAAATTATAAGGCTTGAAATTTAAGTTTACGGCATCAAATAATACCGTATTATTGATTTTTTTTATAAAAATTGTTTTAATATTATCTAATATTAGGAACAATTATTGATGTTATGCTTACAGTTATTATACTCGCAATACTCGAGATGTTAATTATATTTCCCTTTGATTTCTCCAAATATGGGACAGAAATGTATGTCAAATATACGACAGAATTCACGTTTGTATTGATAACCCATTTGTGATTTTTGATGAAATTCTCGTCAGTTATAGCGACCAAAGAGCCGGCGCCGGCATTGTTCACCAGAATATCTAATTTGCCGAAAGTCTTGATAGTTGTGTCCAAAAGTCTCTGAAGATCTTCCTCTTTGGTAACGTCTGCCACGACTTCCAGAGGTTTGAGACGTTTTGGTGACACATCTGAACACTGTTTCGATACTTTGGAGTGTAAGAGCCGTAATGCAGGTCACTAGTGTTGTAACCGAGGTGAAAACCGGTCTTCATGTCGTCACCGGCGTGGCTACGGACTTGACGAGCCCGTGATTAGGGCTACCTTTCCCGTGAAGTCATATGAAACAGACATTATTAAGTAAAATTTTTTAAGAAAAACGGATATAAAGTATAATCATTTACTTTAATTTCAATATTAATAAAGATTTAAACATATGGTGATATTTATATTAAAACTACATTTAAAGTTAAATTTGATTAAAAGTACGATATAAACTTTTAATAAAGTTAAGTTATTTATTATAACGCGCTGAACATCTCATTTAAATTTAGTCATTATTGAACACATTTTTCAATATCTATTACCATCTCTTAAGCCCTGATGAAGATCTCAATGATGATCGAAAACGTTGGGCTGATCTCTTATTTTTGATACATTTTCACTCATTAATAAAATAAGTTATTCAAAACAATCTCTTAAGTAATTACATTATTATCTATGAATATTAATAAGATCTCATATAAATTTAATTTGAGATAAATTAAATAATATATAATGTGTTAAATATATTTTATAAAAGATCAACACATTAACAGTTATTTTTATTATTTTTATTCATTTTTATCAATGATTACTAGATTGAAATTTTAGTTATTTGTTTTAAATTTTATGATATATACTCTGTAGTGTAAAATCAAATAATTACATTATTATATTATTAGATTTAATAACACTTTAAATTCTTGTTAAGCAAATAATTACTATAAGACTATAAATTTTAATTTAAGACAAATAGGAATCAAATAATTAATCTGAACCTAAATTAATATTGGCGGCTAAGTGGCCCCCATCGGCTACCAATATTGTGCCTGTTATAAAGCTAGCCTGGTCACTGGCTAAATACAACACTGCATTGGCAATGTCAACACCTTGACCACACCGGCCAACCGGGTATTTTGCGCCCCTACTGTCCCACATTCCGCTTAATTGCTCATTAGTTATGTTGAAATTCCTGACTATGTTTGTGCGAACAGCACCGGGACTGCAAAACACATTACAATTACTAGTAATTTATGTGATTTTTATCAAAATGATTGCATACTTGACTGAATTGACCCGAATTCCTTTGACACCCAATTCTGCGGCCATACATTGGGTAAACATATCCAGCGCTGCTTTTGACATGTGATAGGCTGATGAGTTTTTACCCTGGTTCAATAGTTTTTAAATAATTAATTTACAACAGTTAATTATTAATAATTATTTTTGAATATGTTGATTACCGGTACATAAGAATAACATATTATAATAGGCTATTAATAATAGCCTACTATTATTAATAGCCTATTATTAATAGCAATACAAATAAATACAGTATAACATAAATATAAACTATAGTCTAACTAGACTAAAAAACACAACATAATAATACATTTAACATTTGTGATAATGACTTACAGATCGTAATCCGGCTATACTCGAGATGTTAATTATATTTCCCTTTGATTTCTCCAAATATTCAATCGATTTATGAGTTAAATATAACACAGAGTTTAGGTTTGTATTCAATATTGCTTTGCATTTATCAATATAATCGGGTTCACAAATACCACTTCTTTGTAAAAAACCCGCGTTATTGACGAGAAAATCTAATTTGCCGAAAGTCTTGATAGTTGTGTCGAGAAGTCTCTGAAGATCTTCCTCTTTGGTAACGTCTGCCACGACTTCCAGAGGTTTGAGACGTTTTGGTGACACATCTGAACACTGTTTCGATACTTTGGACACATTCTCGGCAAACAAACCTGAATTCTGTGGTATATTTGACGCATAAATCAGTTGAATATTTGGAGAAAACTAAAGGAAATATAATTAACATCTCGAGTATCGCTGGAATGAGATCCGTAAGTCATTACTTGATTATTGTGGTCATTACATTATGTAATACGGTACAAATATAACAAATATATTTGTGGTAGATATAATTAATTTTAAAATAAATGTTAATTAATTTTAATAATATATCCCAGGCCAAAAACATGTCAGTGTATTCAATGTCAAAGTCAGCGTTGGATATGTTTGCTAAATGTATGGCCGCAGAGTTGGGTCCCAAACATATTCGGGTCAATTCAGTCAAGTATTGATTTCAAAACTATTGATGAAAACATATTTCAGAATTATTTATTATAATTATATTTATAAATACTTGTCTGTAGTCCCGGCGCCGTTCGTACAAACATTGCCAGGGATTCGCCAGATAGCCTACTTCACTACTTGGTTTACACCCTGAGCAAACCGTGGTTTATAGGCCAGCCCTCTCAACCACTCCCTCATCTGTAACGGTTACGGCACCGTATGGACCGGTCACTGGTACGATCATTTGTCACTGGTGCTTTATTGGTGGCCGATGGCGGACACTTAGTCGCCAACGTTGGGATGGGAATGGAGTAATGGTTGTCATAATTGAGTGCCTCATTAAACCATTACTTCAAAAATAAAAATATGTATTTGTACGATTGCAAATTTGTTAATAAAATTCAAACAATAAACAATCATTTATTATCACTTCGTGATTAGTATTTTAATTTCAGTTAAAAGTCATGTTTGATAAACACAACGAAGATTTTAAAATCAAAATTATAAATTACCTACAATATGGTAATTGAATAATCTTTAAAAATATAATATAATTTATCATTTATAACTTTATACTTTTCAGGATAATAATTGTTTATAATTAATAAAAAGATATTACTAAATTGTTTACTTCGGTACAGTTCAATCTAATAAATACAGTAAGTTAATAACTGTAATTACAGTAGAAATTATTTCTAATGAGTACTCAAATAATAAATTCAGTGTTGAGAACAGTTCAGTGCATAATGTAGTTGTATTTATCCAGTGTAATTATAAATTTTACTGTACGACACTTACAGATTTACATCTTATACAGCTATTTAATCTAATGGTTGTTTTATATAAAAGTAAGTTATACTTATAACAATTATACATTTAAAAGTAAACAGTACCTGCCAAGTGCATTGATTATGTCACTTTATTAGCTTAACAGTGGTAAAACCATAAATCTAAGTTATTTGTACCCATAATGCATAGGACTTTATGTGGAGATAATACTTTAATTATTATATTTATTATATTATTTTTATTTCAATCATTTTATAAATAAATAGCATTCAATTAAGCAAAATAATTTATTTTAAAATAGCAGTTAAAAATAATTTCATACTCTTAGGTATTTAAAAAATTTGAATAGTGAAAATGTCTATAATATATGACTTCACGGGAAAGGTAGCCCTAATCACGGGCTCGAGTTCAGGCATCGGTGCGGCCACTGCTGTACTTCTGGCCAAAAGTGGAGCCAATGTTGTGATCACTGGACGTAATGCCGAGAATGTGTCCAAAGTATCGAAACAGTGTTCAGATGTNTAATCACGGGCTCGAGTTCAGGCATCGGTGCGGCCACTGCTGTACTTCTGGCCAAAAGTGGAGCCAATGTTGTGATCACTGGACGTAATGCCGAGAATGTGTCCAAAGTATCGAAACAGTGTTCAGATGTGTCACCAAAACGTCTCAAACCTCTGGAAGTCGTGGCAGACGTTAATAAAGAAGAAGATCTCAACAGACTTCTGGACACAACTATCAAGACTTTCGGCAAATTAGATATACTCGTCAATAATGCCGGGATTGGAGCAGGCACAAAAATAACTGAATCGGATTACATCCAAAAGTTTGAAAAAATCTTTCAAACAAATGTGAATTCTGTGGTATATTTGACATACATTTCAGTCCCATGAAACCTCTTTTGATTTCCTTTATAGTAATTATAGAGCTCATAACGACCTTAATATAGACATTAAATCAAAATAAAATAATTTAAAGATTATAATGATTTACGGAGTAATTGTCGTGATCTATAATATTTAAATGTCAGGGTAAAAACACGTCAGCCTACTACATGTCAAAAGCAGCGCTGGACATGTTTACCAAATGTATGGCCGCAGAATTGGGTACTAAACTTATTCGTGTCAATTCAGTCAAGTATGAATTGATTTTAATATATACTATATTACTGATACCATATTCAATTTACTATTTAATAGTATGCAAATTATAACATTAATATCAGTACTACAAGGAAATTGAAAATATATTTATATTTGTTGTGTTTGTAGTCCCGGAGCTGTTCGCACAAACATTGCCAGGGATTCCGATCTCCCGAATGAATCACTGGAAAGAATGTTCAAAAATTTGGCCAAAAAATACCCGGTCGGCAGAGTTGGTGAGGGATTAGACATTGCCAATGCCGTGGCATACCTGGCCAGTGACCAGGCTAGCTTTATCACTGGGGCTTTATTGGTGGCCGATGGCGGACACATAGCCGGCAACGTTAATATGGAATTTGAATAAGAATTGTAAAAAAGTTTAAATAACTAAAATTTTTTTAATTAAAATTAAAATACTACTATTTATATTTTAAAAGCTTTATTAATCATTAAAAATTAATAATTTGTAATCAAGATTTGCTTAATACATTCTATAGTTGTTAAACCATTAGGTACACCTTTTGAATTTTACATCAAACAAATTATTTTAGTTCAAATGATTTCAATTGTACCTAAAAATTTATAATAAACAAAGGATGTAAGATTATTTATTAATTTCAAAAATTATTATGTTAAAATGTGAATAAACAACTTAACTTTGTATTAAAATGCAAGAAAATTACCAATGAAAATATTTTTATTCGTATTCTATTTATTAATCTTTATCCGAAATTATTATTTATTATTAGTAAACTAAATGTACTTAAATTATATGAATAAATTAGATTCCTGGTGTATTTATTCTCAACATACGTATATTGCAATTTTATAGACTACCTAAGGATTATAAATTGATTCAGTTTATCATTATTATTACATTTCTCAAAGATAAAGAGCAAGGTCATTCAGAAAATACACCACTTGTACATTTAATTAATATTTTAAAATTATTTAAAATTACATTAACCTGTCTTCTAATATAATTCTTGGTACAGTATATCATTTAATTATTATTCAGACATATTTATTGGGATAGGTTTTAGATGAAAATATATTTATTTTAATAAGGTATTTTATGTGTAGACAAATTTGTGATTAGTTATTATATCACTGTTTAATATAACTTTTGCACTAAAAATGTTTGTTATCAAAATGCACTCAATTTTGAAATGTGTATAAATATGATTGAATATTATAAGTAGTATTCAATTAGAAAATATTGTGTATTAGTATATCTGTTGATTATATATCCTAATATAATTAAATAAAATTATTTTTAAATGTCAGCAAAATATGACTTCACGGGAAAGGTAGCCCTAATCACGGGCTCGAGTTCAGGCATCGGTGCGGCCACTGCTGTACTTCTGGCCAAAAGTGGAGCCAATGTTGTGATCACTGGACGTAATGCCGAGAATGTG